CGAAGATGAAAAGCAATTTATTTCAAGCGTATTTATTTAGGCCCATATTATAAGTGATTTTACTTTGATATTTCGACAACAAGAAAGAAATGATAATGTATTGGAAATACTTCAATAATATAGACCAATATGGGAAAGAGCAGCGATCTATACGAAATTTTTTTGTCGACTAAAAGTGTGGACATTTTGAAACCAAGACCATGCTAGCAGTTAGATTGAGAGAGATTAAAACAAAGAATCGACAGTCTTGAATGACTTTATGAATTGATGAAACCTATGCTTGAAACAAGTATGGTTCTGTTGAAGATGACCTTTGAGCGATAATTTATCGGAAGTTCGATAATGAAGGTAAAAAATATATTTTTGTATACAGTTTTCTGTGATATGTGAAGTTCGAGTAGTCCGGATTCAAACATCGATTATTGGTCATTATTGAAACAATGTTGATTATTGTAAGCTTATGTAGACTACTTTTTGCCGAGAAGCTTTAAATCAATTGACCTTTACAGATTATAATATTAAACTTCATCCAACGGAACAAAATCTACCGAAATCAATACTGGTAAGCTTAAAGTACGAACTAAATTTTCATAAACATAAGTTACTCTTTCTTACGCTAAAATCAATAAATATGTTTATAATATTTGTTCGCATGTCAACAAAACTGTTGTTAACTTACATTCCTTAGAACAGAGCCTATATCTTTGAAATAGCAGTACTACTAGATAATCATTTTCAGCTTCTATATTGCTATTGGAGCTCCGCTTGTGTTACCTAATTTTTATATTATTGTTTCCGTCGTTCAAAATGGCCGTCTCCCTGTGTTCGATAAGACCACGATCAAAAATCAACGAGAAGACTGTCTCATTCCTTGATAATATGCATAGGTTTATAACTATAATGACTTCAGAACTGGATTAGTGATTAACTTTCGAAAGGATGTACCCTGGCCCCAGAGGTTTTCTTTTCTCTTCTTTCATAGATGTTTTTTAAACTTCTTGCGTCGTTAGATTTAAAAAACAAAGACAAAAATACGATAAAAAACATCTATGAAAGAAGAGAAAAGAAAACCTCTGGGACCAGGGTAGAAAGGATGCAGTAAAAGCTCAATAACATCGAACGATATATTCAAGCCAAGTGTCGGTCAACTGTGAATGGACATGGCAGCAACCAATGAGAATATACAAGAAATGAAAAGTGAGCGCATTTACCTCATGGCCTCGTCTATCGAGTTCCTCTCCAAGTTTAGACAAGACAAGGTAGTGACTTGGCCCCCATAAAGGTAGTATAACTACCTTTACAGCAAAACCACAGCTCACGAGCCAAAGGAAGTACAAAGGAAGAAAAATATTAATCCTCATTGGGAAAACCTCAATCGAGATTTTGGACTCTAAACTACGGTCATCACGAACGAATAAACGAACGCTCCAGAAAACAAAAAGCAAAATGGATCTCGTTCACCTGATCATCGTACAAAATGTCAAATGGGTTACGGCTTGAAAAAAAAATAGGAACATGGACTACAGGATTTCCGGAACGAACCACGAAATTTAAGAGGACACCAAAATTAATATGATTTTTGATTTAAATGATTTANCGATGCATGGCTTCAGTAAATCTTGTTCTGTACAATTCAGGTGAGACAACTGTCGGCATTTTTCCCTGTCCGCCAAGAATCCCGCTCGACTTGACATACATCTCCAGTTTCTTGTCCCATGTGAAGGTGCGAATGAAATCTGGAAGAAACAAGAGTTTCTTTTTAATTCAGTGCAATGCATACGTGGTTACACTTACAAGAGGATTGAGACGTATATCCGACACATATTCCATTAACAGGGAAAGAAAAGCCATTCTTTTACGTTATAAGTGGAGAAGGAAAAAATGAAGAGTGACAAGTTAAGGGGATAGCAAACAAAACTGAAGTTTTTCATTTAAAATTGTGTTTCTTTCATCACTTCTTTCACACTTCCTTCGCCTTGTCCGTCTCACAATGGGTATTCGTACCAATGATTCCGATGACCAGCTCGGAACGAATCTCATCAATGCCAACTAACAAGGAATAGTCCATGACCATATGTTGTGCCAAAAACTCCGTATCGTTATGGATAGCTTTGGAGAGGACTGCCTTTGAATGAGGTCGAATAAAGATGGGACTTTCTCGAATAACTGAAACAAGATTTCATTAATAATCAGTGTCACAATATATGAATTATGTCACACTACCTAAACGAGAATATCCAGCGCAATGCGTGCGCCTTTTGGTAAGGATTTGAGAAGGAAGTCTTTTGAACAGAAATTTCAGCATATTTTGATTGGACATCTGTTCGCAGAGTACACTTCAGATAACTCTAAGTTGAGATTTGGTGAACTTACGTTCCAACAAGTTTTCGTCCATGAGGACATCATTCTCACCACTCGAGACCTGTACGTATCTACTGCGCATGGATCCTTTTAGATCGAAGGTCTGTCAAAGTAATTAAGATTTCGTTAATCAAGGTTCTCTCAAAATGCCCTCTAACGCCCCTAGTTCATCCCGCCTCCAGCATTCGATGCATACAGGACTTCATGACCCCCTTTTGTAATTTGTTGTAGCCTCCGCTGCTATAAACAACAACTATGAACAGTCGAATTCGATTCCTACCTTGTCAATCTTACGATCATAAAAGAGATTTTCCATAACCAGAACATCCTGTCTCATAGTCGTGTTGGTTTGTGTGTTCTTAAAACCAATACGGTACACYCCAAAGATCTTGGCCAACAACGTTGATCTCTGGAATATAAATACGTTAAAACTCACTTATAAACTACTTAATCATTATTATTACTTAATTAATTATTTATATTTACATTAAAACTCAGTTATAAACTACTTAATCATTATTATCATTTAATCAATTATTTATATTTAATTACTAATTAATTAATCTATTATTACCATGGTGATCGTTGTGATCTTTGACACTCTTTTAAGTAGTAGTCAGTCAGATATATTTCGCTCAGTTCAAGCCTCATTATTCATTATTTATATTTACATTAAAACTCATTTATAAATTAATTAATTATTACTTAAGTTATGATGATAAATTAAGATTATATAAGCCTTATGATTATAATTAATTAATTCATTTAAAACTCATTTATGATTGATATCGTTTTGATAATTGTCAACTAATATCATTTAGTTAAGAAATCATCTCTTTTTCAGATTTAGTATTTACCTTTTCTGTGATTGCCTTGTTCATGTACTGAAAATAGTGAGGCGCAAACTCCACGAACGACTGCAGCTCAAGACGAGACATTTGTTTTAAGACAAAACGGTCATCTACAACAAAACATAGCAGTGCACTCACATGTGTATATATTTAAGACTTTTCTCTAAGACCCCATTAAATAACATATCAAAAACAAAGCTCATTTCATACCGAAAGATTTCGAGAACGTGGAGCCTGATTTCCCACCACGAGCACGCCATACTACACAATGGGCCAAAGAGCGAATGTACCTTAAAAAGTTAAAAATGTAAACATAGAGGTGGAAAGTTAATACATTAACGTTCTTGTGGAATCGTACAGGTGATACGGAAGTGATACGCAAGGGTAGGAACGTCTTTCATGGCAGAGCTTGTAGTCAGTTTGTAACATACGTCAAGTCGCGTGTGACAATCGCAATGTGCGAGTCGACCTTGAGGGAACTTCGACTATATGTTTACACTATTGCCTTTCCCGTTCAGAACCGTTCACGAGTTTGGTTGGCTTGAGCGCGAGTTCACACAGGACCTCCGCAACGGCCCTCTTTACCTTAAATCGAGGTGTTTCCAAATTCGACCGGCCTCGTGTACAGGTAGTCTTGTTTATACTTACTTTTCTTCGCCGTCTTCAAAGGTATCTTTGCGAAGGTTTCTRAACTGTTCTGCATAGTAAGCATTGCAGTAGAATCGACAGACGTTATATGAGAATTCTAAAGACAGAAATAATATCAATAGATAATTTACTACATGATTCAAGAAAATGCAACAACAAAACTTCCATGCGATGTCGTTCTTATGACATTGATTGTTTTCAACCATTCCCATGAGATTCAAAAGATAAAAGACCAGCGGCCATGTTGGAGGAATGAACAATAGATACTAATTAGAAATCCTCAAAGATGGCCGCTGTGACGTATAGTGAAAACGAAGAATACTTCTTATACAGAGGATGCATCCCTATTTTTAGGATTGCAGTGCAAAAAAATAATGCATCGAGCATCCAAAATACGTCTACTGTTTAATCCAAAATGGAAATTCTCTTAAGCGTCAAATAACGTTATCTATATATGTAGCTGTATGGAACGAGACAATTATCACAACACTCCATATTTGGGTTGAATTGCTTTGTACAAAAGAATAGACGAGGCTCAGGGGAAACAACACATTTATCTATTGCCTCACCTAACCTTGTCTTCAATTCTTTTGTTCGTCAAACAAAATATCGAGTGTGTTCTATTCTCGACCGAGATATAAAGACTAAGAAAGAACTCACGCATTTGAATATGGAATTCCAAAGGACGGTCTTTGCCAACATCTTTCGGTTGAAAGCCAAACTCTGGCTGACATCCTATGAAACAAATACACAACAATATTATTCAAAATGTCCGCATCGAAACTGTTKCATGACAACGAAATGTCACGTGGCATTAGCGAAATCGCCCACTTTTGATGTTATGGCTGAATAACCATGCACAAAACGACAGAACGCGAGGCTCAGTCCGAAGAAACAAAGAGTTACTTATTGTTTCCCCGAAGCCTCGTCGTCATTTCTTTTAGAAGCGGTTAGTCAACCAACACATCGAAACTGTCCCATTCTCTCCCATTCTATCAAAAATTCGATGTTTTCGATGGTCGCGCGCTGAGATCAAACTCACTGTTTTCATAGTTTGCTTGCTGTTCGCTGCATTGTTGYTTTCTGCCATCTTCCATGCCCATATCCTCCTGGCTGGGTCCCTTGGAAAACTTAACTCTATCCGATCTATCTATGGTRTTTCTACTTTTTCTTCGACCAACTTGTACGACTTGTTGGTCCTGGATGATTTCCACGTGCGCTGTACTGGAATCGAGCTCATCTTCATCTATTCCATGGGCTTCTCTTATTTCAACGTTAACAAACTCTAAAGTAATGAAGAAACAACATGTCGTTATTTGATTGACCACCTTAAATCTCAAAGTGATAGTTCAAGAAGAGGATGCATGATTTGTATGTTTGGTAAGCTGTATGATGAGTTGGATAATTGGTTGATTAACGAAATAAATAAATAACTCATTGAGGATTGTATGAAGTTTAATTGACTGACAGATTTCAAATTGCTCAATTCAAATGATGCTATCTACGATATGATTTCTTGAGCCTCTCTGCTCGTAAACACAACGATGGAAATGTTTCTAGAACAAACTGGAGCAGCATTTCAAGCATAAAATAATATCGTTTTTACCTCCATTACTGTCATCTACTGTAATAACCGATGGTGATTCTACACACACTGAGCCTTCAAATCTGGAATAAATAGAAAATTATTATACACAAACGACACCGGCGAACTTGCATTAGGCCAAACCATAAGTATGCATGTTATAGGCATTGAAAATGAAAACCACTTCAACAATCGACTCTAAACTATGGAATTACTATAAGATATAATCACTATGACATAATATCAACCGACCTCGATGATTCATCATCAWTCTCACTGCCTTTGGGATGTTTCTGTCCATTCTCTGCGCCTTTTGCCAACCGAACCAACGAGACTTGTATCTCACAGAGTCTGTGGTTATATTCCTTGGTGCTGAATTAGAAAATAGGGTTATTTAATATTTAACATAAATTCTTGAACAAAAAACAGAAAAACAAAACAAAACAAAACACACACACACAAAACAAAAAAACACTAAACAAAACAAAACGAAACGAAAACGCAACGCAACACAACACAACACAAAACACTAAACGAAACGAAACAAAACAAAACAAAACAAAGCAACATCAAAAACTGTTTAAAGCTCATTCTTGTTACCTCAAAGCATACGCGATAATGGAACTTGGTTCTTTTTCGTTGACTACAACTAGAACATTCTCGCCAGCTGGTAGGAGATGATGCTCGTGACTTGGACTGAACAAAGATATAAACAACAATTAAATATGACAAAAATCCCCCCCCCCCCCAAAAAAAAATGGAATGAAAGGATAAAGGAAGAAATTTCCATGTTTCAAAGACACGTCCAACAACAAACACACCACAATTTAGAAAATAACAATCCTTTCATGACAGTGTTTGGCTGAGGAAGAACAGAGGATGAACCTTTGAGCAAGTAAAATCGGAAATCACAACATAGGAATCTCAAGCAGCGTCCAGGAAGAAACATTAGATTTTACAGTTAAAAAAGTAAAAATAAGCGCCAAGAAGAAATGACCGACGTGATTACACGAATCGTAGAGGAAGCAACTTTGAGATAAAGTAAACTCGACTTACAACGACGACGCAATAGGCTGAAATGTAGAACCAGGAAGGAAAGATGAAATAATATTCTTCATTTTGTCTCTCCTACGTAAGACAGGCGTGCCTAGAAATTCAGCAATGAAATAGACAAATATACTTTAAGAAAAACTTATAAATCAATAGATTCGATTTAAAATAAGAAACCATAGCAGGCTAGACTGACKTACCATCTGTGGACATYACAGGCGACTCTTGTTCTACGTTGTCTGAAAATAYACAAAGTAATGTCAAAGTGATTTACTTTGAAGGGTTTTCTTCTCATATCTTAGTATTTTGTGATATTTTTGTAGATTATTGATCTAAAGTAAGCATTGAGGATAACCAAATATGTCACAAAAATATATGCTGCAATAATCAATGCACTAAAGATATACATTTCCCTTACCAGTTTGTTTTACTGCWGTTAAAGTGTTAGGCACAGAGAGAAGACGTCCATAAGTCCTCTTTGTCAACGTACTAGAATCCAGTCCACCTCCACCTTCTGAGTTTGATGAGGAGTGGGAAAGGCTTGTTGATGACAATGAAGTATTTTCCTTAATTTGATGAAAAAGAAAGGGATAAATAATTATAWTATGAACCACATAATTAAAGTTTTAAAATTGTTGAAAAATCGACATTTGGCGTTGTTACAGAGTAGTTTTTACAAACTTGTTGTCTTATTCTTATAAATCAGGAAAAAATTGAAACTGTTGGCTGCAACAATTTCATGGAAATTTTAAGGTAATCTCTCAAAGTGTTATTGCAGAAATAATACTCAGCGGTTTATGATTTACCTTTTGCGCATGCGTTTCATTTACATTGGAGTCACTGACACTTCTCATAAGGCCCTCATTCCCACATGGTGTACAGTGCGTAATAGTGATTATAGGAGGCGATGAATGGATGCGACGGTGACCACGAACAAAACTCTTACTTTCATTATGAGAATCTACGGACTCAGTAGCGCCATCGTTMTTAYTWGAATCGCTTTCGWCCTGTTTCTCTTGGRTGTCMATTTTAKTKAAATCTTCATTGTGATTTGTCGTRTTTTTCTTACTGTTTKTTTCAAGTTCTGATGGCTCAATGTCTGACGATCCGATGTTTTCAGGTCCTTCGRCGCCTGGCATCTGTGGCGACGGGCTGCTGACGGGTAAACCATGAGACGGACTCGCCACAGGTGTCGCAATGTCTTCTTTATCAACACTTTTTGTTGATAGATTCTGTAAGCTCTAGTTAAGAGTATTATATTTTATTATGAAGAACTAACTAAAACATACAGGAATCGCAAAATATTAAKAAAGAAATAATGTACTTTCAGTCCACGAGATGTGTATCAGGATATTTGGTAGATTTGCCTGTCTAAAATTCGGAAGGTGCGTCYGCATGCCTATTCAAAGAGATCCTGATGCGTGTGTACGAGAGGTAGGATTACGTGTAACTCAACCTCATTMCCAGGCCCTTCCCCTTCGTCCAAGGCCTTGAGTCTGGGAGCGAGTTTGCGTCGTAATAGTCAACTTTAGATATTTTGATTCGATGACTATGTACAGAAGAAAGCACATTAGGCTCCGAGAAAACAATGGATAATCTTGATTCCGAGAAAACACTATGGATAATCTTGATTTATTCTTTTATTACCCCGGAGCCTCGTCTGCAATTCTTTTGTGCATGGTCACTGAACCAAAATATCTAAAGTCGGCTATTATAATGAAGGCCAATAACCGGCGAGCCCACCAGTAWCGGTCTACTTACATTGTCGATTTTTTCCCCAGATTTGGAATCACGTTGACCCAAAGGAGTTTTATTACTTTTCTTTTTCTCTGCTTGAATGAATTCTTGAAGTCTACGTGCACAGTAAAGCATTCATAAGAGCTTATCCCTTTTTATAGCAATATGGCGGTCGCTTTTGTTTTCAAATTTTACCCATAAGGTTTGATTACAGAACCTGTTTWACTGGCAATTCTTAATTACATAGCAAGTACAAACCTGTTATTCCAGGTTTCTACAATCTCGCATAGAATTCGTTTGAGTCCATTCAAGCTATCAGAAATGACGTAACCAAGAGCAATTTGGTCTTGTTTRTCAAGATGRTCGTAGCTTGACACAACACTAGGGTTCTGTAATCCTTGCAGGACATTCACTTTCTTGGTAACTACCTGGACRCGCTCGGAAAACATTCCCTTGTCAACCTTCAGAGATATAACATGAATCATTTTCTGCGTCCAACGAATGAATGAATCGATTAACAATATGCAGAGACGCCATTTTGTGCAGCAAGGAATGATGGTTGTGGTAGCTAAGTCTAGCTAAGCAGTTTTAGCTTTTCATTTGTAAAAATAGAGAAAGTTGAGCCGTTGCCACAAAGAAAGAATAAAAAAAGCTTTTARGGAGATTTYTTTAGGGGMTWATAAAAAGTGCGAGGACTACAACTACAATCATGCTTTGCTTTACATTGCATTACATTGCTTTACATTGTCTATGAACAAACTGATTAAAGAAAAGATCAAATGATGAGCGAACATGATAATCAATAAACGAATACTTCGACGAGTAAGTCAAATTATTATGGATTGATAAAAATATGAATTTAATGAATGATCAAAGTAAATAGCCAATGAATGGCTGGCGACCGTGAAGCGAACAGAGCTTGTCACTGACTGGTGTACTTTTATAAACAAATTCTTACTTCAAGTTGAGAAGCAAATTGTATCAGCTTGGAATCACGGTCAGGTGTGTGAGAATCAATCCTTTCTCCCTTAAGAACGTCCAATCGATCGAGAATTGATCCAAATACAGAATCAGCCCTGTGARCACAAAAACCATAGATGAGAAAATAGTGGAAAACATTCGGCACGAATACGAAATGCCGAGACATCTCAGTGTTTTGCGGCTAGTGCYTCGTAATGGGGCTCAAGCCACTATGCTAAAACCGTGAAAGTGCATTGTGTGGCTGTAGTTCGGGATATTTTCCTGTATTGCTGTTTATTTTCGGTAATTTCTCAATACCAGTTTAATTACCTGTCTGATATCGCATGGACGTCTCTCACCCAGTAGCTTGCTTCACGSACGTCTTTCTTGACAGAGATTGAAGGAAGAGGAATAGCCGTCTCGAAAAGTTTAATCTCTCTATACCTAGACACATYATTAATTATTATTACTCYTTGRTATTTCAATCAAAACAAAATTGCGATGAAAMCATTTACAAGAGCTTTCTGGAAGTGAAGCCTCTGRAAAGCCCCTGAATCTCACAATGGAAAAATGGTAAGTTGAGATTTATKTRACTCTYGAACTTGACCCTCTTAACTATCTTTCGCTCRAAAGCTATACAAAAATATAATGCGCGCGCTTCGCAAGAATTAAATGACCATTTCGCCTTCTAAGAAGATTTATCTTGTTACAAYGGCATAAARAACGTACTTAAATGATGCCACCATGTTTGCGAAGGCAAAGTACTGGAAATGGTGTCTGTGTAGTGAATGTCCACAGGGTTCAACACTGGCTCGTCTGGAATACTGATCACCATAAAAACGAAGCTCGATGTACTTAGCAAACGACAAAGCCCATGCGTCGAAGGACAACGGTACAATGGGAGTAACCTAAGGAACACAACAAAAAATATCTGTATTATTAACACCCTAAGGGAAGTATCCCTCTCAATATAAAAGGTCAGTTTTTGTATAGTTTAAAACACGATCTCGAGTGTTTTAAACGGCTTAAAAAACTCCAACACTAATTTGAAACTCMAATCCGTTAAAATTCTTGGAGAAATTGCCGTACAAATATGTTCAGAGATAAATGGGGCAAACTGGTCATGCGCGAATCACTTTACAAAGCACTCTTGTCATCCCACATTGAATACGCATAAAATAAAATAGAACGGCTCTTGGCTGTTCACTGAAGTCGGTTGACATCCTGCATTGGTCAATGATCAAGTTTCAAACCTGAGACCTTTGCTAGGGTCATGGACCTTAATATCTGATAAAGGTCACCCTTATTAGTATTCTTTATATAAAGAATACTAATAAGGAGTGTTTTATCAGATATAAAGGTCCATGCATTTGACCAAATAGGCTCATTCTATTGGCCTAGTAGCTCATTAATTATGTATGAGTTTTTTAAGTATTTATAATTTTCAAAGTAGATTCATTGTAAGCACTAGCTTTTTATTTTCTCAAATTATTGTAGAAGACCTAAGTATAATGAAACGCAACGAACTGCAGTACAACGTAAGACCGTAACGTAGTACTTCAGAACAAAACGTAATGCTGTGTGCCATAACTCATAATGAAACGTAATGTTGTACTATAGAACTGAGGTAACACCACGCGAAACGAATAACGCAACAAAAATTACGTACTGCATATCACTGTCAGTTAGTTTCGAGTATTTTTGTTTACCTACTTATATAAAAACTCGCACGTTTAGCACGACGCAACGTAAGTCAGCACAACGCAACAAAAATTACCTACTGCAACACTGTACGTTTCAAGCATTTTTGCTAACCTGTTTACATTCTTTACACCAACTCCATGTTAGAATAGTATGATGGAATCCAGGGATAGGCGACTCAAGATTCTTCATGTTGATATACACTGAACCATTGCCATGGGCAAAATACCGTACATGGTCGACCATTGGTACATCACAATTCGGGTTTGGACACACATAGGATGGTCTAATGATCGAAAAACAAACAAGGTTTTGTTATAACATTGAGGTGGAACTTCATGACGACCGAAGGAAACTGCGTTCCCTCTTTCTTTATCCAGTTCAAATTTCCATCGTAATGGTTGGGAAATAATGGCTACTAAGGTTACATACACTTTTGTTAGTTATCAATCATGGTTTTTTGAAAATCACGTTACATGAGTTTCGGCAACAGAAGTGAAAAAATTATTTGAATACCTGAAGCAGTATCTTTCCAAGAATCCGCCGAGTGTGATGTCATTCCTGCCGTAAAATTCCATGAAAACAGCCCTAGTAACAACACCAAATGGTTCACATTTCTACTATATCAATTGAATTTTAAAGACTGATGTTTACCTACCATGGACTTATACAAGGTCTAGGCGAGTTATTCGATTCACTGGAATAGCTACTAAATAAAACTGCAATGCGTTGATGATAGCTTGGATCTAGGCAGTCCACCTGTACCAAAATAGTATAATTGTAACATTGTGATAATGTTATTGGCATATATTTGTTTTGTGATTTGTTGAAATCAAACAAACACAATCAACGCACTTGTAAAACGAAGTATTACCATTATTATCATTAGTATCATCACCATCATGTATGATTATGATTATGATTATGATTATTATTATCAATTAATCATCAATATTAATATGGTAATCGTAATTAAAGATGAGTACATCATAATCACTATCATCACTGACTATTTTGATTGGACTCCCACCTGTTTATTAAAGTGTACAGGGGATGTGGGCACGACTTTTGTTGGACTTGTAAAGACTTTATCTCTTTCCACAGTAGGATTGTCTCTTCCGCCAGCACTYCCAACTGATGGAACTCTCTGMTGCCGGCCATCGTCAACATCRAGAAGCARCCATTTTGATTTYCGTCGTTCTTCATTACTATTTCTGCTTCTTTTCAATTGAATTCGTCCACCTTGAGACCTAAAGTCTGCAATAACTCCTTGGATAAACTGGCTACTCGTGTTGACAACCACTTTTGAAAGCACGAGAGGATGTGGTGGTAACATCTCGATACCTTTCAAGTTTATTATTTTGGACAACGGAGGCTCGAATTCGTCGAGATCTTCTTCGGTGAGTTGGTGATTTTTTCGTTTACCTTTCAGTCTAGCAGACCAATAGATATCCTTGGGAAGTAGAGATCTTATGGCGCATTTGGAGCCTTCAGCTGTCAGTAGATATGGAAGAGGATACTTTACGTACGGTGAACTGGAAAGAACTGTCTGATCTAATAACTTTTGGAAAATCTTTGCYGTGTTTTGATCATCTTCACTAGTATTGTTTTCCTCCYCGCTGTTACCCTTTGATGAATCACAAAACAGATGAGARGGATCTTCAGGCAAGGCGAACTCGTCCATAAGAAAGGCTGTTTCTAGCTTTTGACCGTGCGACACATAAGTTAARAATTGGACGATTTTCTTGACCTTAGCRAGGACAAGACCATTGCCACCTCGCAGAGTAACGGTGCATCCTAGCTCTGGTGGACAGCCGTCAAGAAACATCAACGTCTTGGATTCTCCGTTCTACAAGAAAGACATAACGTAAATATAAATAAGGAACCTAGTATAATCAATACAATATTTGTAGAACGATAAAATTTTAAGTTGCTTCTAAAGATGAAACGACACTTCAGAAATCTCTTTAAAYTCTGAGCRCGGTRCATRCATCCAATCAAAATCTCACCCAGCCATTAATAAATCCATCCATCAATCCATCTATTCTGCTAATTTGCTTGAAATTAGTTATTCATTAATACAGCAATCAATCAATCAATCGAAAATGATGCATATCAATTAAAAAAAATTCAATCAGTCATTCATTCAATCAATCAATCAAAAAATGAATCTCTTAAAGAATGAAACACCCATCGATCATTCATTTATTTAAAGATCTACCCACCCACCTTCAAAAGATATTTCTGTACGCCAAAGTGTTGGCARGTACCAAGTTGAGGACGACTCAGCTGTTCCATGGAACGTAGRACTGCYGCYTTGGTACATCTTGCTACGCGCTCAATCACTTCCTAGGCGCAGAAAATCATAACATAATGGAAAATTCTTAGTGATCTGAAGATCTTGTGTAATCCCAATGATTTCAAATGAAATCTGAGTTCCGATCAYGATTTGAAAAGATCTAGCGAGCAATTTCCACTGAGCTGAATTGACGTTATACAACATATAGGGTAAACTAGCCTACTCTCTACCTGTCTATATACTAATTTAATAAAACATTTCTAGCCAACACGACGTCTTCACGTCTTCTGAGAAGAAATTACAGTAGTTACCGGTTTAACATTGAGTGCAAGAGTTATGCCATGTTGTAGCAGCATATCTTGAGCCAGCCKAGAAACGGTCTTCTCCACCAGTAGCACGTTTGGTCGCAATGCTGCTACYCGGGCAACGAAGTTCTTGAGGAAATTATACTCCTGTAAAACCAGTGAATCCAAAGAGGCCAAGCGATTTTCTTTACGCTACAGATTCAAATAGAAATGTTATACCAGTCGCAGACGTTTCCCTTGTAACAGCTTTCAAATTAGCCTTTTATGACTTATTTGCCGCAATTTTTGAACTCCAATGGTCGAGCTCTAACCACCATTTTCAGTATTTTTGCTACAGTAAATCAAAACTCGAAACTTCTCCGAACGACTTCCGAGACTCCTTCCTCAAAACCAAAAGAGCTGCGAATAATTGTTCGGATGACTCCGGAGAACGCTCGGGTTTGAGTGGGGAGGAGTCTCTAACTTAGAAGCCTTAGGTGGTTGGTCGCATATTTACGATTGAGCTGAGAAATAAGACATACATGTAGAGTAACTCATTTAAACATTACATCATAATAATACCTGAAAGTCAATTGCGCACGAAAGCAGCAGAATCTTGGGATTATTAAATGAACTACACATCTTTTTGTGTGAGATGTTCTTAGTAAAGCCAACTCCCCAGACAACCTGACAGTCACTTTTATGGCCTCCAGGTATCTTCTTAAACTTGACATAGTGCCTTACATCCATATCATCATCATTGCGTACGTCTGGAGATACCTAAACAACCAATAATTAGGAATTAAACTTGTGAATGTGTGCGGAAAATGTTAAAAATGCGGACACATTCGTAAAATCACATGCTCTTCTATGGAAATTTTAGCATATTAGAAAAGCGGCAGCTCGTTCACTATTGAACTGATTGACAGAAAGTCAGTTCGGAATTTTGCATTTCTTGGTACGGTYTTTCTTTCTAAGTCGTAWCTCACCAAGGGGATGTTGCCCAGTGCCCAATTTACTTGAATTCAACAATGGGCGAATAATCTTAATAACAGATGAGCAGACTCGTACCAGTCTTTMCTCTCCTTTTTTCTCTGGAGCGCGCAAAGGATCGYATTGCGCGAGGCTCGAGAAGCGACTGGGTGCGAGTCTGATACATGAGGGCAGGATGATTCTGTATTCYACTCAATAGAAATACCTTGTCACTTATCTCTTCAACCAGAGGCAAAATGACTTCCTGCCAGTCAAGTGACAAACCAGCATCTTGTAGCAGTTGTTCAACAAGATGAACCATATGAATGTAACGAGCCTCGCTAAGGGACAAATAATCAAAACATTAACATTATTTTAATCAAGCATCGTAGTTTTAATGAATATCTCTGAAACAGATATCAAGCCCAAATCATCCTACCAAATCCTTTCCATGGCAAGTCTCTCGTCATTATCATCTCTTAGCTTTTCTATATCACTAGGTTTAGGCCTATTAACACCAATACGTTTTGCCATCAATGCACCCTTCAAGACATCCTCTGCACTGGTACCAAGAACAACTGGTTCTGAAGGTTTCTTATTATTTGATCTCAATGATGATATTGGGTAGCCTTCATTGTACACATACTGCTCCAGAGGGGGAGGGGGGACATCAGTTGTTAAGGCAAGGGTTGGACCTTGGTTTTCAGTGCCTTGACCTTTTGTGTTGTCACTTCCCTGGGATTTAAATGAATAAGAGTTGAATAAGAAACTGTGACCCAATCTACCAGTATGTCAGCACTCAGACCAGGGGGGGACTCCCTTGTTGGTAGGTATGCTTGATGAATGGATTGAAAAATGACCCTAAAAGGTATGCATAAACTAATTCAGGTATCGATTCCAGACCCTAAAAGGTACGACCATTTTTGAGAAAGCTCAAGTTTAAAAAACAGTAGAAAATAACGTCGATAGATTGTTGGGGTGAATAAAATCTATTTCTTTATTAACAAATTTTTTCCCGTTGTCCGAAAATTGACCCTAAAAGGTACAGAGTCAGCTCAGGACACTAAAAGGTACGCAAGGGTTTTGATTTTCGACCCTAAAAGGTCCGCTGAGCATACCTACCAACTTTTATAAGGGAGTCCCCCCCAGGGGCACTCAGCCCTGACAAAATGCAAGACAACACAATGCAAGACATTCCATTCAGCTTTGTCCAAATGTGTGCCTCAATATAAAAACAATATATCAATCCCATAATTTGTCAGACCTCTCTAAAGTGATCCAAGTTGACTTTGAGTGACAGTTCRCTGTCCTCCTTTTCTTCAGTTGTGCCAACTGCAACATCAAGGTCCAGAAGCTTTACACCTGTGTAGAATTATGTAACATTGCATTTTAATCGACTTAAATAGAATATTAGTTAGCTGGAACTAAATCGAATACCAACAATTCAGATTTTGTCTCTGACTTCATTTCACAGTTTTTAGTTCCTGGGGTATTGTCCTTCATAACATATAAACTCTCAGTTAACTGTACTGACTGCCACTGTGTGTAAACACTAGTAAAACATACTTGCTATTCTTGAGATCTTTGGCACATTTAAAATGCTTGCTGGCGTTGCAGGATCGGCCTGAATAAATCAAAATGAGTTCAAATAATGTTTAAAATCTAATTAAACATTTTTCAAATTCAATAATAATTATTATAATATAATTAATTGTTATAGATAATAGAGTACAAACATTAAATGTGTGCAACACTTACCGCTATTTACTACAAAATAGTGTTAATTAAACAATAGAAAACAATAGAATTAGCATAATTTAGCAGTATTTAGTGGTATTTATGTTTCACAGTTTTAGTGTTTGTACTCTATTACTATAGTAGATTAAGTATCTACAGTGTAAGTACCTTAACATATTCCTGTGTATCTAATTCTTCACCACTCTCGTAACCCTGCAACTGCCGAAACCACTGAGGTGCTGACTCATCATCATCGTTATTATCACTCACGCCATCAGAGGATTCTTCATTGGGGTTACTTCCTCGATGAAACAATGAGTGACGAGGATTGCCTGCTTGCAATTGGTCTTTAGAAGCAGTCTTATAAAGATAAATTCATGGCATTATACCATATGAATAACACACCAAAACAGGAGCAGGAAGATTATAAGACAAATGGAAAACATAGACAATTAAGTACAATAAAAGACAAAACATTACGTACAAAAAAGAAAGTATTAACTGTATAACTTACTGGCCCTGGTTGATACAATGCATATTCATCGACAAAAGATTGTGCGTATCTTGTGTTAGGCACAGGTTCAAGCCAGCCACCCTCTAAAAGAGCTTGGCCAATAACTACAGCTTGACTTCTGAAATTATGTATTATGGCAATATACAATTCTTACACTTCTACAGACAATTATTCACAGGAATCTATCATTGCACACTTAATGGTGGTCTTGCCCTGGTGCAAAGCCACAGCTACCTTTCAAAATTGTATAGGAAAGCGTGAAGGAGACTATTGTCCTTAAATAGTACTACAATGATGTATAAAACTTGAATGTGAAATCTAAACAGTGCAACTGCTCAAATTGTTTAAATACAGACTACAATGAATGCTCATTTAATTTATATTTAAGTATAAATAAAAGAGAGGAAATAATATTATAATGGAATGCCAGAGTGAGATTTCTATTTTACCTGGTTATAGCCTTTTCATGGTTAATAAGCCAGTCTACCAAGTCACTTGCGACCAAACAGTTTTGATAGGTTTTTAGTCTGAAGCGATGGCTTTGTAATTCAAGGCCTGATCTTTGTGACATGATTGTATGCCACAAGTCACGCAATGAACCCTGCASAACAAGAGGATTTTCAGGTTTTATCTCACTGATACTCAGTTAGCTGTTTTTGTTTTAGAGTAGACTTTGTATGACTGTGCAAAGACACTSATCATGCACAGAGCATGTACATGAAACCTCGCCTGGTATTGACAACATGAAAATAATGAGTCCAGAACACATCACCATCATAGTATAGTAGGTTGTGGCATGTTTTCTTTGCACAGTTATGTGAAAACTGCACTAGTGGTTAAAAAAGATATACTGGTATTCACTGGTCAATATTAAGCATTATTATGTATCAAGTGTCACTTTTCCTGGTATCTTATTGGTAAGTCACAAAATTTTACTGTTTCCCAGCAGCTGTCCACCAGCTTTGTGGACCGTCAATAAGTACAAAGTCGCAGAAAAACAGTGTCGTGAAAATGTCACATTTACGGATGGTGCATTCCAAAATTGTTATGAAACATTTAAATTCAACACAAACATAATTTTATAGTAACTAATATACTCTTTGTACATGTTCAATATCAAATTTACCTGCTTAAGTATATCRGCCTCTGCTGCGCATACCCCAAATGCATCAAATGGGCTTCTGACACTTTGCAGTGTTCCTGTCTGCCTTGCTTCCATTTGCTCAAGTTTTTCAAATACAACACTATTAACACTATTTGCACTTGTCTTTCTTGATGCTACTGTATCATCATCTTGACTGCTTCTTGACAGACTCATTGTATTCATTGATGAGTGTGGGCCTGTATATTCTGTTTCCATAGCAACTGCTTGTATATCAGCCTGAAGCTGTTCTAGATTGCTCATCATGTCAGGGGATTGAGTGTAGGTTTGGAAGATTTTGTCGCAATAGGTGCAAACGCGTAAACCACCTGAAAAATTGRAAAATTGATWAATTTTCAGTTATTACMTTTTTATAGCATTTCAGGAATACCTATCCCCAACACAAATTACATATAATTAAGGTTATCAGATGCTAGTTAAGTAAATGTAGAATACAAACCTGCATAGCCCATAATTTCTCCAGGGATCTYAATATTACAACATCTGTAGCAAAATATCTGACCACAAAGTCTACAGTGATGTCGTCGCCGGAAAGTATTAAACTTCTCTCCACATTCGTAGCATTCCTTGCAATTCTCATCTGGCATCCAATATTGCTTAAAGTACGATTGTGGAAGCTGTAAAATAATAAATAATAGGTTTATACAGCCTGGGTTCAACTATACAAATGTATGAATGGTGAATATTGCTGTCYGCAAACAAAATCTATGGAGTGGATGACATTATCCAGCATTTTCMTCTGCTTGAGAATCGTAACTCCTGAAAGGCTAGTAAAAAATTTTGGTACRAGAAAAGTGAAAAATGGGAAGGGAGTAGGATAGTAGGAAGGAGAAGTTGGGAAGAACAGGAAATAGGGAAGGAAGTAGATGGTAAGAAAAGGTAGATAAAGGGGGCAAATGTGAAAAAGAGGATGCAAAGATGAAAATAAAAATGAAAATGGAAGTTTTCAGGGACAAAAGCTTGCCCTATACTTTCTTTAAGCTCTCTCTTTCCTAATAGGAGAAAGGGAGGTTGGAAAGGTATTCTATTTCAATTTTTGACTATACCTGTTCTCCTTTGGATGAGTCTGCAACTACAGTAAGYCTTTTCAATAAAGCAGTCAGATTAAGATAACCCTGAGGTAGCTGCCTACTTTGRACTGTAGGACTTGCTGATCCTTGTCGGCGCGGAAATCGTGGTGATGACCATGATCTGGGAATTCTAGTCCGAGGTATCTTCTTGTGTTCTAAAGCTGGTGAGCCATATCTAGGACTGGCTCCAGAACTAGTACCAGCRGATTGATACCGYAATGGACTAGAGCTTGTACTGGGAKGACCSCCTTTTGTAATTGGCGGCTCAGAGCTCTTCCATTGAAATAACTTCGAAAAGGAAAAAGATCCTTGAGGTTTCTCAGGACTCAACGGTTTAAACGAGGTAAAACTATGCTGGTTGCCATCAGTTCTTGGGACGGCCCTCGACTGTGGCTGAGATTTTTGACGTTTCTCTCGCGRCGAAGTTTGCATGTTTTGGCGTGTTCAAAGTTTCGTCAATCACCATTGTGCAAGGATAACAACAACCTCTGGCTAACCATCAGAACATTCAAAGCTAAATAACGATGGATCAAAGATGGATAGCAAACTCTAGTAGGAAGCATTCAACATGGTTGCATTCACTTTCAAACTTTTCGTCACTTTCCAGAGTATTTTCACGTAATCTGAGCCCGTGTTGACTACCGCTGATCCAACAGCAAGGAGCCCTTCGATCAACCAATCATATTCTCGTGCAAGTCTCTCTCTGAAATATTTCCAATATGGCGGACCAACTGAGTGTTTACGTGGAAAACTTAGAACTGCAGCTATCTGAAGTTGAAATGCTACAATCCATGTTTCCAGATGGAGAAGAATTCAAACTAGATGATCCAGGAGTACTTTTAGATGTTCAAGACTTTATTTCAGGAAAGAAAAAGGAACTTCCACTACATATTAGTTTCAATTTAAGAATAGAATGCGATTCTATGGAAGGACGACAAAATGGTTCTGGAAATGAGTTAAATATTCTGGATCTTTTTTGTAGTCTCAAACACGAATATCCAAACGAAAAACCAGACGTTTTTGTAAGAGCACCACGATATATGGACAGAGATGTACAAAAGGAGCTMAACAAAGACTTAGAAAGTCACCTTTTGTCCCTAGAACAAGGCGAACTGTGTATTGTTGAAGCAGTACAATGGTTGAAAGACAACGCTCGAGTATACTTTAAAAAGTGTAAAAAGGAGTTGAAAAATTCTAATTCACTAACGCAAAATAGCAAAAATGAAGGTGTGTTTGTGAGAATGTGGATGTACATGCACCATATTTATAGTAAAACAAAAAGAAAAATTATTCTTGATTGGTCGTCAGATTACAACCTKACAGGATTYTCYCTTCCTGGAAAACCAGGAGTGGTTTGCATTGAAGGCAATGAATGTGACGTTGAGGAGTACTATTCCAAATTAAGAAGATTAAATTGGAAAAAAATTACCTGTCGCCACAGACAAGTYGGTGACAAAAGTCATGGCATWGATGAACAAAGAATATTCAAAGGTTTTGAAGAGTTAGCCTTTGATGTTCATGGTACTAGGGAAAGTCATATGGACATGGGGCAGTTTTATCATTATCTAGAGGAGCATAACCTTGGTGAAATGTTCACTGTCTTGTTTGGTGTGGAAGGAAAGTGAGGAGGGGACACTTTTCATTATCTTTTCATTTCTTGTTTCTAGAAAAGTGAAGATTGTGAATGACCTTAGCAATATTATTTAACCAAGCATAGAATTCTAGATAACATAGGTTCATTTTGAACAACAAAGTATTTTAATATAAGTAGTGCTTATATTTTAAAACTTTAGACTTGTGTTTATAAAAGTCAAGAATGACTTTGTAATATGCTTGCAAGTACACATAAGTATTCCTGATACAAAAACAGACTATTGACTATTCTTACAATTCCAGAATAACCTCGTTCCTAGAAAAAAACACACAATAGAATAAAAAAATTAATTTATAGATAGATTCCAGGCTATTCACACCTGTTATGGAAGTTATGTAGTGGAATATCAAGAATAGTCAATGCAGTTTGACTTTCTGGGTAATTAAGGGACAGGAAGCCCAAGACTTTCTGGGTAATTAAGKGACAGGAAGCCCAACACATTAAAAATGAGAAGCTCTGAGGAAGRGCCATATTTGAGCAAAAGGGGATTCATACTAAAATGCTCACAAGAAATAAATAAATGTACATACAATACACTGTTCATGGTAGACTTACATGCAACACCAATATTTATCCAAAATTTGACAATAATTGTAAAGCTATCAATAATTATATCAATTGTCAATAAATCATTCACCCCCAACATAAACAAATCATTGCTGTATGTAGGTTTGTTGTCTTACCTTTTCTGGAGTAATGGAGATGTTGAGAATGTTGATATCAATTCATCACACATATCTCTCCTAATATTATYCAAAATTTTTAGCACATTCCAGTATGAATCTCGAAAAATGCAAACCTTCCCCAAAATAGTGACTACCCTTCCCCACCAACAATTTCAGTATTGGAATATATGGATTAGATCATATTAAGATGCTGTTTGCATTATGAYGTAACTTTACTACATTTTCATTGTTATTCAGATTTTTAATCCCCTTAAAGATTAATAAAACAATTGGCACTAATTGCATTACAAAAGAAAGTTGGCAAAGCATTCTGGTAGTTGTAGTAAATGTCGCCATAATGCATATCACCTATTATTCTTGACTGAAAAAATCAGTTCTTACTGTGACCAAACCAGGCARTCATTATCATTTTTCTCTAAATATTCTTTAAGAATAATAATAATATTATCATAAGAATTGTAGAACTGTAATTATTCCTTGCCTTTGGAATCAATATATAGAGCGGGAAAATTATATGGCCGGCAAGTGGTTGCTCATGGCAACGGGGTGCCGAGCCTCCTTAYTTTATCCCTGAAACCAGTGAAGCAAGGATTGAACGCGACGCGGAGGGAGAAATGTTTGGTGCTCAAGAAATCCTCATTCTTAACAACGTAAAGATTATTGAAGTCCKTTTGRATAAGCATCAATAGGATTTCTTGATGCTGCCGTATATAACAAAGCATGGATAGTCTAGGATCGAGCGTAGTTGAGGATAGCAATGCAACTTCAGCTCCCTTGTCAGACAAATATTGCTATCAGAGAAACCTGACAAACAGTTTCGCTCATTACGACGATATAGATGGTGGAGTGCCCCAAATCTTTGGTCTTAACTGCTTAGGATGGGTTGTAAGTAAAGAAGGACAATAATTCTAAGTTTCTTAGTCTTGCAGATATTACATTTTTATTTTATTTTTTCATTTTTTTCGAAWATGAATAAATGCATTATGCAGCGACTGCCAAGAATGAAGAGCGAACAARCGAGTGGCGCCCTGTGTTTACAAAACCAAATTCGGTTTAGATTTTTTCTTCACTAGGCTCAGGAGCTTTTACTAAACTTCAARCAATATTTTAGCAAGGAATTATTAAATGGTGTTCAAAAGAGTGTGTTTATAGTTAATGTGATGAAACAGACGGTCGCAAGATCATGAAGAAGTTGTGGATATGCAAATAACTCGAGATTCATCTGCTAGAAATTCAAATAGGTGGTAATATTTTGCAAATCCATATCACTAATCTATACCAGCAATACAGTAAAAAAGAATAATAAATCATAGCTAGTTCACGAATCTCTATCGAGRAGTGACGATTTTTTTGATTTTGCTGGTTGCTAGTAGAAGAAGCTAAAAGACTTAAAATTTAATTATATTGACAGTCATAGCTCTGCTCATAAACAAAGCCCAATTTTACTTTCGATTCACYGTCAGCCCACGTAAGGAGYTCTTTTGACCAAAGCCTTATTTTTTAGTGTTCTTTGTTCTTGCATGAATGTTTGCTGTAAGCTAAGAAAATAAAAATACGTAAGGTTAGTCTAGATGAAAGCAAAAATATTTTTACTAGCAGGTGCTATGCGTTGTAACATAATGTAACGCCTTGAACGCAGTCGTAAAAAGAGACAAAATATAGACGAATTGGACCAAATGTAACGGTCTTGTATGGTTCTGTTAAGCTCTAAAAATCAAATTATACCATTAAACTGTGTTCTACAAATATTTTTAGTGTCAAAAGCATAATTTGTTAAATTGTCCAGACTCACGCATTTCTCATATATTTTTACATACTGTACATACGAAAGATAGCATAGCTCAGATCGCCTCTCTAGCTATAAATACTTTTTACTTGGAACATGAACATTCCAATGTTTGAATCTATTATGACAGCTYATAACATGATATTTTGCTAAGGTGGGCGCAGCTTGTACAAGCTCTGAYTCAAGCACCAGGCATGTCCATGGCTATTGCAGTATTTTTTGATTATCCAAGCAAAAGAAGAAGCAAAGAAACACTCTTTTGTATATAGATTTTACTGATCGAACAAAATATTTTGAGTGTTGACAGAAGAGCATGAGACTGGAGCTAACAAAATGCCATTTTAGCAACAATAATTGTTACTTTATGTATAACAATATATTCTGTTCTAATGTGTAGTTGATTATACTCCTGTTCTGTATCATTCGCCGATTGGTTTGGGACTATGGAAGGCTTGCTGTTTCTCAGAAAGAAGATCAAGGGTAAATACTGTAATTGAAGGATTACATAATTGGTAACATATTATGATAATTAGTATGATTGTACATATGTACCAGGGGACTGCAGCTGTCTAAGAAAGTCATGTATTCCATAAAGTCATTTAACTCTCTAGATTATTATCCACTGGATAAGGGTTTATCTGTTAAGTGCGTCCTTTTCGTCATAGCATAAATGATCACCTCTCTGCTTCTTTCAAGGTGGACATCAGTGTTTTATGGCTTGAGAGCAAGCAATGGTAATAATAAAAATGGATCCACTCAAGAACAGCCCACTATTAAGTTTCCTGAAGTCAAAAATAAGGTACGTATGATGCTATATATGCCAGGTAGATGCATGRCCACTAGTGGTGACTACTGATCAGTTTTTGCCTATTATGATAGCATCACAATAACATTCAAACTATTGCGATAGTATTGCAATAGGAGACTAACTAGTATTGCGATAGTATTGTATGAGTACACAATCAATACTTCAGCTATAATGATAAAGAAATTTTTGCACTTGAACAGGACTTAATACATGGATTGCTCCTGCATATAGCAATACAGTACTGCAGTTTAGTTACCAGAAAGTTGAAAGTGTTTACTTGTAACAAGCATTAATTAGTATATTTATAACACTTTTTCTTTGTTTGATTACAGGACCTATTGTCATGGATACCAGTTTTGTTCAAAGTTACTGACCAGCACATTCACATGAAGTGTGGAGTTGATGCATACCAGTATATTCAGTTTGAAAAGCACCTCATTGTCTATTCCACTATCATATTTTGTCTGTCCATTGGTATAATCCTCCCTATCAATTACTCTGGGACAATGGGTATGTTATACATACTAGTAGTTCTTCTTCAGTAGTTTTGCCATTAAATTACTAATTGTTTTAAGTAAGTCAAAACTTCCATGATAGTCTAGTTCAATGAGTGATTTGAAGAATTTGTTTTATCATCCAATAATGTTTAACTAGACGATCATGGATCGCTTACGTGGGCTTCCTGTGACAATGGTGTTTCATTTTCACAATATAGTCTTTGTTTGTAATAAGTCAAGACAGAATTAAGTTAATATGTTATCAATTTATTACATCATAATTTTTTACCGAACTGAACTCTAAGTAAATTGGATACCATGTCTTTCTCAGTTTTCCAAAATAACTAGCTCGACTTTACGCTCAAGAGCGTCTATATTATTCGAAATATCTGATAGGTCATATAGGTCACATAAACAATAGAAACGGTACAGTCTTGGCAGTATAACTTTGAATAATATTTTGATCATTTTAATCATGTATCTGTATCTTGTGTTTCTGTTCTTTTTTATTTTGTGTTTATCATTAATTTGTAAATCTGGCGTTCTGTGCCATCATAAAGATGTACCTTAGCCTTCTAATGACAGTTCATATTTTTGGATTTGTCTAAGTTTTTCAAGTTAAACAATCATCAAAACAAACAATAGAGAATTAAAATGCTTCATACACAATATATATTTTGTATACAGAGTTCAGTAAAGCTCACACGTGCAGTTTTCCGAACTTCAAACACATCGTTAGTTTAGAAAATGGCATCAATATTTTTCAGATGAG